AACCATAGATGAAATCAAAAAAAGAAAAATTACTAATGAACCAGATTAAAAATTCAATAAAAAAGGTCTCTTGTCATATATCTATTGGAGCAATATTTATGGTATAAAACAGAAGCCGTACAAATTTTGGGTGGTACCCATTTGCGCCAAAAAAAAAAAAAAGCCGATTTTAGATACATCTTATTTGTGCTAAAATAAAAAAGGTACTTTTTTTTCCGATTACCCATTTACGCTAAATTTACCTGCGTAAAAATTTTACACTAACAACTTGGTTAATTCATATATATTAATAATAAAAAAAATATATTAGTTTATTATAATTTATAACTTATAAAAAATGTGTATTATTGATTATTTATTTAAAAAAATTCGTACAGTTGACTATGATTTAAATAAAATTGAATCGATTATTATTATTTAATTGATTATAATTATAACCAGTAAACAATTTGTATATTTATTGACAATCATTGAATAAATTTTATTTCATTATCTATTTGTAATATTAAAATTTTAATAATACCTAATTATTTGAGTGTTAAAAATAAATCAACTAGGTATTATGAATATTAAATTGACTATCATGTAAAGGTTGTTTTAATAAAAATCTGTATTTATTTTATACATAAGTAAAATGAAAAAATAATAAAAGCCACGTAACCGTGTAATATACGCAGGTAAATTTGGTGCAAATGGGCGATCGGAAAAAAAGGTACCTTTTTTTTTTATTTTGGCGCAAATGGGCTGTACCTTAAACGATCACCTTTTTTTTCGGCGCGAATGGGCGATGCCCAAAATTTTAAATTATAAAATCGTTGTGCCGTAGATAATTTGAAAAAACCGTGTGTTTCGTCTTTTTCGGCCTTTCCCAATTATCGTGAAAAATCCTTTAGATATCAAAAAAAAAAAAAAAAATCGATCAGTCGTGAGTGAAAACGGGTAAAATAATTCATGTTCAAATCAATCGGTACATTTTATGTTATTGTTTTTTGACTGCGCCATTTCGGTTGGTGAATAATTTTCGCAAAAACGTATCGACCGGATTGCCGTGTTGGCGAACCCAAGAGCCGTCATCCCGTTCGAGGGACGAACGGATGGCCGTGTAATAATCGCGTTAAATTATGCAGTCTGGCTGTACGTAAATTCGGCGCGGCGCGCGGCGACGGCAGGAAAAGCGGCAGTGGATTCCGATCCGTTCTGCGCAAAACTAAACGGCCGGCCCGTTTACACCATCCACGGGGAAGGCGGCGGAGTCGCTGTGGCGCGTGAAGCTCACTCGCGCCAATAATCGTCTACGGCCGACACAAAGATCCCGGCGTGAACAGAAATCGCCCGAATGTCAAACGTTAATCAACAGCTCCGCGTGGGTACGTCGATAAATCTACGAGGTTTCTGGTAGAATTAACAGCGCTACGTTAATAATAATGTTCGCCGCGTACCAATATAATAATGCAACGATGCGTGTAAACGCGTCATGATAATTATTGTTATACCGTGGAACAACGTTGTTTCGATGACCCGTCGGCTCCGACGAGCGCGTCTACTGGTAACCTTTATGTCATTAAAAAAAAAAAAAAAAAAAAAAAAAAAGG